GTTTCGCAAAGAAAACCATATAAGATTGTATGGTTATTTTAGGGCAGTGTTTCCCAAAGTGTGGTACTCGTACCCCCAGGGGTACGAGGACAGTTTAGCGGGGGTACGCTTTCTTATGCGAAATATCATGCAACATACGAAAATTTCAATTTTTTTTAAAAAAAAAACGAAGCTAGTCACGGAAATTTACGATTACGTATTTTTCTATTGTCTATTTTTGCAGAGTTAACACTTAATAATTAGTGGTGTCAACAGCTAGTTGTGATTTTTAACTTTTGTGCAATTTTTTTATAGTAAAAAATACATTTATTTCCTTATTAGTGGTAAACAGGTATATGAAGAATTCAGAAAGAGTACACAAAAGTCATAAGTTTGGGAAACACTGTTTTAGGGGATTGGTGAGCGTTAGCAAGCTAGGAGAGGAATTAAGGTTAATAATATTTGATAAAAATATGCTAGATTACTTTCAGATACGGTCTTATGCCTAAAATGGTTTCATGCCTAATTTTGGGGGTTTAAAGTAATTCTTCGTCAATTACGGATTTTTAATTCGTGAACTTCTTATAGCCTGTTGAAACATTAAATTTTTATTAAAATTTGCTTCAGAAACTTTAATTTTCCTTTCGTTCACAAAGTCTAAATTAAAGAAAATAATTGTCCTGAATTAATGTTGAGTGTTGTTATCGTGTTAATTTTAATATTCTACAAAATTATATTACACAAAAATGTATAAAATTGACATAATTAAAATTATATATTTGCGTTGCGAACTGTACATTGTAAGAAATTCCCGATCAAATTACGGTAAAAAGTATCAGCCCTCTGGGGTACTTTTTACCGTAAAATCCATTTTTTCCCTAAATTTTTACAACAATATATATTTAATTATAGTGATTCACTGTTATTACAGTAAATATTACTTAAAAAATTACGGGTTATTAGGTTTTCTTGTTCCGTAAAATTTTATGGTAAAGATTGATTTTAAGAATTCTCGATCAAATTACGGTAAAATTTATATTATGGATGTCTTTTTACCGTAATTTGATACAGAATTTTTTTGACAGTGTATGACGTGTTATTAAAGAAAAAAAACTGTACTTGAGACGTAAAGGACCAGGGAGGAATTAGACAAAAGTGAAATGCCTTTTCAAACTCTTAGTTTCAAGAAACTAGTTCAACTCAAACTAAGGAGTTATGAAAACGTAAAAAAACCTTATGAAGTATTTGGTTTCAATTAACAATCTCTTATTCTACAGTGATTATTAAAGAGACCGACTTAAAACTATTTGAATTTTGTTTAAAAATAGTTTGATAGAAACTAAGGCTATGAGACTAATTTGAAAACCATTTGCAACGTTTAGTTTCAAAATAAAGCTCAGAATAAATTAAGTATAAAATAAACGCAAAAAAACACTTGAAACCAATAGCTTTAAAAAAAACTATTTCAAAAAACAAGCATCAAATCTAGTTCTGGGTTTTTAAAAAAAGCTAGACAGTAGGAAAGAATCATTTTGAAACTTTTAATTTCAATACGCACACTACTTGAAAGGAATTTGAGATTATAGTTTCAGTAAACCAGCCTAAAACGGAAAAGCAGCTAATAAAATCAACATACAAAAAATATTTCCGTTTTAAATGTCAAGAATTGGCTTTACGGTATTTTTTTTATGTGTTTTAAAATTATAAAAATACTTTTCGTTGAAGTTTTTAGATCAGTTTCAAAACACAAGCTCAGTATAAATCAAGTATAAAATAAAGGTTAAAAAAAATGTAGGTACCTACAGTTTTAAAAAACTAATTCAATATGCACCACAGAGCTATGAAACGAACAAAAAAAACGTTTGACACTTATAAATTTTAAAAAAAAACTAGTTTAAAAAGCAAACATCAAAACGAAAGTTGAAAAAATCTTGTGTCCGGTTTTTAAAAAAAGCTAGACTAAAAGAAAGAACCATTTTGAAACGTTTAGATTCAAAATGGTTCTGGAATGGTTTTGACACGTTTTTCAAAATGGTTCTGTAATAGTTTTGAAACGTTTAGTTTCAAAATGGTTCTGGAATGGTTTTGAAATCAGTTTAAAAATGGTTCTGGAATGGTTTTGAAACGTCTAGATTCAAAATGTTCCTGGAATGGTTTTGAAACATTTAGTTTCAAAATGGTTCTGCAATGGTTTTGAAACGTTTAATTTCAAAATGTTTCTGGAATGGTTTTGAAACGTTTAGATTCAAAATGGTTCTGGAATGATTTGAAACGTTTAATTTCAAAATGGTTCTGGAATGGTTTTGAAACGTTTAATTTCAAAATGTTTCTGGAATGGTTTTGAAACGTTTAGTTTCAAAATGAGCTCAATACCATTCTAAAACATTCTATACCATTCTTAAACCATTCTAAAACAAGCAGCTCATCAAATCAACGTACAAAATATATTTCAGCTTTAAATGTCAAGAATGGGCTTTACGGTACTTTTCTATGTCCTTTAAAGCTACAAAAATTCTTTTGACAGAAAATCTGTTTTGAGGAGGTAATCGCAAAAGCAATAATAATAAAAAAAAATTAAAAAAAAAACATTCTAGAATAAATGTTTTTTTAATACGTTCTTCATTTTGTGTGTATTTGAAATTATTCGCTTCGTTGTAGCTGAAATGTTATTTAGATAATGTGTTTTGGTTCGTAAAATTGATTGAAATAAATATAAAAATGACTTTTTAAATCCAGTCATTCAAGCATGCAAATCTCTCATTTTCAATATCATTGAAGTAAATTAATGTTAACGATAAAATATTGAGTAAAATAACATTTAAATGAACGTGAAAATACAGAAACATCTTTCTCCATATTTTTACTTAAAGGACAAAAAAAAAGTTTCATTGAAGTTCATAGTTTAAATAATTATTTAAAGATTATTTCTAACAATCCATTTTATTACAAATCATTTTTTTAAGCAATAAACGTCTAAAAAATAAAACCTAAAGTTGTAGAATTTTGTTGTAACTTTTCATGTTGCAAATTCATTGAAATAAAGAAGGGACAAAGATGAAAACAGAAATCTGTTTTCTACAGCTTTATATACATGGGCATCATAGGGGCTTAATTGTTAGCGAGGACGAAATTATATTACATAGTCACAATAGCTTTCTTTATTTTACATGTAAGAATAAAAGTTTTTAAATGTTCGGGATAATTCCCGAAAATGTTCTTTATTTGTCTGAAGTACTGAGGAGGATTCTTAGAGATTTCTAAGTATTAAGGGGGGGGGGCATATACCCACCGTCCCTCTCGCCAATGACTATAAATCAAGGTTTCTTCTGTACAATATACAAAATTATTCTGAAGTTATTTTTTATGTTGAAAATTCCTTAAAAGAAGCAAGGCAAGAAGATTTAAAAATTGTAGACGTTGAAGAAGATTGTAAAATATAAATTGTGAAAGATGTAGGGGATTTGTAAAAATGTACAATCAATCTTCATTTACTTTGAACAATTATTAAAATCTGATTACTTGCTACTTGAAAAAAGGAAAAGAGATCAACTCAATTAAAATATTAACATTAAAAGTTTAATTTTTTTAGAACTATATTTCTGACTCTTTCTTTTTTTCCCAATTTACTCTGTAAAATTTCTGTCCACACTACTTTTATTTTATTTCGATTCTCTGCATTAATAAACAGAATTTTTTTAAAAAAAATTTGAATTTTGTTTTGGGCAACTAGAATCTTATTTTTTACTCTTACAATATTTTTTTGTTTTTATTTGACTCTATTTTTTTTAAATTTCTTAAGGTTCGAAAATTTTCCACTTTTAACTCTTGTTCGAATTTCTGAACTGGTTTATTTTATTGACATACATTTTTAAAGATATTTTCCAACTTTTAAAATTGTAAAATATTGTTTATTATCATTAAAAGAAACCATTCACCATTATACCTTAAAAGTTCCATTAATTGTATCAGATCCGCTATGATTGTTATGCATATTGGGAAAAAAGTGGCTAACATTTTGAATAATAATAATAATAATAAAAACGACAATTTTTAAGGTTTTATTATTCGTTATTAAAAAAAGGAAATGATTTTTTTCCTTCTATACAATAACTCGTTACATTTTTAGATGAAAACGTCAGACATTGCTAGTATAAAAACGTCATGAATTATAATAAATAAATACAGCAAAACTTAGCACAACGATTTGTAGTTTAAACTGCTAATTTCTTCCCTTCCAATTACTAATAATTAAAAATGAAACTTTCATCTAAGAAATAAAATATTCAAAAGTCCTTGTTTCGATCGGAACTAACCTCTCTTCAAATAAATTAATTACTCAAAATTTCCAAAGTTCCTGTTGTGGAATGATTTATGATTCTTCAAAGAATGAATGATATAAATTCCTTAAAAATGAAGAATGTAATTTCTCACCAAAGAATGATTTATTTTACATTTATAATTTAGAATAAAATATTATTACTACGATTTGTAGTTTAAACTGCTAATTTCTTCCTTTCCAATGACTAATTATTAAAAATAAAATTTCCATCTAAGAAATGAAACATTCAAAAATCCTTGTTTCGATCGGAACTAATCTCTCTTTAAATAAATTGACTATTTAAAATTTCCAAAGTTCCTGCTGTGGAATGATTTATGATTCTTTAAAGAATGAATGATATGAAAATGAAGAATGATTTTTAACATAATTTCTCAATAAGGAATGATTTATTTTACATTTGTGATTTCGAATAAAATATTGTCTTAAAGAAGGAATTTTTTAAAAATTCAATGAATGAAATTTCTCTTCAGAGAACAAAATATTTAAAAAATTATAATTTCCAAAACTTAAAAAAGTTCGATTCATTTTTTTCTCCGAAGAACAAACTATTCACAAAATAAAAATCATAGAATAGAACCATAATTTATCTAAGTATTATGAAAAAAGGAAATAGTATAAAAATACATAGCCCACCTGCTCGAATCAACAAAAATAAATCTTCGAATCGAAAGAAGAAACTTACCGCCACGTGGTCTTTTCCGATATACCTGCTTGGAATACAATGATTCACTCCTCTTCGCGATCTTCAGCATCTTTCATTTCATTCCTCCTCCTCCTCCCCTCTCCACAATACCTCCTCCCCTCACCGTAGCAACCACAACAAGAGATCATTATTTGCTATTGCCACCTGGCGCGTATTTAAATGGGTGGGGTTGTTGTTGCTTCGAAATGATGCAACAACATTTAAATGTTACTTGGGCACCACAAAAAATTCGAGAATTCGTGAGAATTGGAGTTGGTAACTTCTACGAATGCTCGAAATATGCTGTAATAAATGGCATAATTGTGCAATAGTGGAGCTGGTTATATGTCCCGACGCTAAAAGGGGTCACTTAACTAAATTTGGAGGTTTTCTTAGAAAAAATCTATTAATTTCTAATTTAGGACCAATAAATTTGTTAAAAAGACGAATAGTTTCTGCGGCTCGCTTCTCGGTTAATTCCTACATTCTTAATTTTTAGGATTTAATTTTATGGCTATGAATTGGTGGCTGTTCCGAATAAAAAAGTAACTATTTTACACTTTTAATTTTTTTTTTCAAATTTAATCTTAAGCAAATTGGATTGCTGTACCTAAAAACAAATAATTAATCTCACACTTTTTATTTTTAAAAATATTTTCTTAAAGAGCAACAAGTAAAATGAAACAACAAAATAAAACAAATAAATAAATATTCTCACACTTTTTATTTTTACAAAATAATCTTAATAGATAACAAACTGGTGGGAGCACAGAAAAAATATTCCTTCACTTTTTCATTTTCGCGAATTTTTTTACGAATTATTTCTACAATTTTCATTTTTAGGATTTAATTTAATTGACTATGAATTAGTGTGAGCTCTAAATAATATGTTTATTTCTTTACACTTTCCATTTCTTCCGAATTTAAAATAGGCAACAAAATTAAGGGTGTACTAAAAAATAACTAAATATTCCCGCACTTCATTTTTACGAAATAATTTTAATAGATAACAAACTGGCGGGAGAACAAAAAATAAATAATCCTTCATTTTTATTTCTTTATTTTTACGAATTCAACCTTAATAGGCAACAAAATGGCGAATGTACTAATAAATAAATATAATTTTTGCTCCCATTTGCTATTAAAGTATTTTTATACAACAATCCTAATAGATAACAAACTGGCGGGAGAACAAAAAATAAATAATCCTTCATTTTTATTTCTTCATTTTAACGAATTCAACTTTAATAGACAACAAAATGGCGAATATACTAATAAATATAATGTTTGTTCTCATTTGCTATCAAAGTATTTTTATTCAACAATCTTAATAGATAACAAACTGGCGGGAGAACAAAAAATAAATAATCCTTCATTTTTATTTCTTTATTTTTACGAATTTAACCTTAATAGGCAACAAAATGGCGAATGTAGTAAAAAATAAATATAATTTTTGCTCCCATTTGCTATCAAAGTATTTTAATTCAACAATCTTAATAGATAACAAACTGGCGGGAGAACAAAAAAAAATATTCCTTCACTTTTTCATTTTCACGAATTTTTTTTATTTTGACGTATTATTCCTATCCTTTTCATTTTTATGATTTAATTTTAATTGACTATGAATTAGTGTGAGTTCTGAATAATAAATTTATTTCCTTACACTTTCCATTTTTCCGAATTTAATCTTAATAGGAGACACATTTAATGGTGTATTAAAAAATAAATAAATATTCCTACACTTCATTTTTACGAAATAATTTTAATAAGTAACAAACTGGTGGGAGTACAAAAAATAAATATTCCTTCATTTTTATTTCTTTATTTTTACGAATTCAACCTTAATAGGCAACAAAATGGCGAATGTACTAATAAATAAATATAATTTTTGTTCCCATTTGCTATTAAAGCATTTTTATTCAGCAATCTTAATAGATAATAAACTGGTGGGAGTACAAAAAATAAATATTCCTTCATTTTTATTTTTTTTATTTTTACGAATTCAACCTTAATTGGGAACAAAATGGCGAATATACTAATAAATAAAAATAATGTTTGCTATCATTTGTTATGAAAGTATTTTTATTCAGTATTCTTAATAGACAATGAACTGGCGGGAGTACAAAAAATAAATACTTCTTAATTTCTTTTTTTTTTTTTTTCTTCATTTTTACGAATTCAACCTTAGTCGGCAACAAAATGGCGAATATGCTAATAAATATTTTCTGTTCCTATTTGCTATTAAAAGTATTTTTATTCAAAAAAAATTTTTTTGGTTCTCTGGAAAATTAGTTGTCTTTTTGGATTAAATTCGAAAAAAAGAAAAGTGTAAGAATATTTATTTATTTGTTTGATATTCCTACCGACAATACAGATTATTATTCAAAGATGGAAATATGAAAGGAAAAGTCTAGGAAAATTTAGTTATTATTTGCTATTCCCGGTAATTTGCTGCTCATTAAGATGAAACTTATAAAAATTATTATTCTAAGAATCTTTTATTATACTTAAAAGATTAATCTTGATAGTCTGAATTAATTTAAACATGTTGGTGGGAATACCAAAAAATAAATCAATATTTTTACTTTTCTCTTTTACGAATTTGATCTAAATAGGTAATTAATTCACTTGAGTATCAATAAAAAAATACTATATAAAACGACTGAAATAGCAGAGGGAAACAAAATGGATGAAAATAAAAACTATAATATATTTGTATTTCAAAGATATTCATCATCAATGTTATTTTTATTTTGTAACAAATGTAAAAACGAGATGTTTTGTGATAAAAGTTTAATGTACTTAATATTAATAATTATTAATGTGTCCAGTTGAAATGTTTTTCTTTCCTTTCCAAAATATAAATAGCAATAAAAATTAAGGTACTTTTCAGTTAGATGGGCGCAAGCGGAATTTCGCCAAAAAATGTGAGAAATATAGAACTCTGCCAATTTTTACTTATTCTTTTTTTATTTTATTTATTTTTAAACTTATAAAGATTAAATGAAATAAAATAAAAATTTTATATAAATAAAGTACAAAATAAAGTACCAAAAAGTACCAAATAAAACAAAAAGAACCAAAATGTATTGCATGTTAGTTAAAAGGAACGATTTTGACCATCGTTACATTAAATATTTTCTGAATAAAATGCTAATTTTCTTCTGATATGGCTGATCTAAAAGTAAAAGTGGAAAAATTTTTCAAGTTTCGATAAACTACTTTGAAGAGTGTTCAAGTTTGAAGTTGTTTTTATTTGACGAAACGAGTTGAAAACTGAAAAAACGAGTAGAAAAATCTCGAACATGATGATACGAGATGAAAATTTTAGAATTCTTGTTTTGTTTATCATAGATCACTGCATGATGAAACATGTTCAAAATCTAAAAGACTCCGTTAAACACCTGGTAAAGCCTCATGAATATAATTCCTTAGCCAGCTGACATTTCATAATTTTTCTAAAACATTGCATCAAAAAAATCTTACTGATTTTGTGTACTAATTTTATAAATTTAAAACAGTAAAAAGATTGGATATTACTAAAAATATTTAATTTTTTTTAAATATATTTACTCTTATAACAGTGTTAAATATTAGTCGAATTTATTTCGTAAAATAAATTATATCTACAATTAATTATAAAAGGCCAATTTAAGCAAACTTAGCGAAATCTATAGATATATATTAATTCTTATTTTTTTCTATATTGCAAACAAAAAGAATTGGAAATTTAGAAAATATAATTTATTAATAATTATAATTTAAATATAATTTATTAATTTATATTTAAATTACATAATTTATTAATAATTATTAATAATTACATGCATTAAGGGTCGTTTGTTTTTATTTAAGTGAGGAAGAAAGAAAAAAAAATATTGTCAAAAACAAATGATTTTACTATTGAAGGAGATAAGACGAAACCTGCCGAAGAAAATAAAAGGAAATCGTAAAAGGTATTGCTAGAGACACCTTTTAGCTTCATCTAGTAATCAAACTAATTTTGATTTTTTTCATTCCACCTTCCTCACTAATGATTCTGCGAATTTCAATGGCGTTTATGATTACGATTCCCTTTAATAATATAGGACCATAAATATGCAAAGCTTTACGACTTCATTTTTGACAAGAAATCTAAAAACATACATTAAAGGTGATTATTACTATGTACCCTGTTTGTGATACTCTGATTTGAAATTTGCAAAAGGTTTTTGCATTTAGCTTTACTCTTGGAGATTCAGTGAGATAAATTGCATAAATAGGGGAAATTTTGTATACTTATGGAACGTTTTTCTTTTCTTTAATATTCTAATTTTAGAGTTTCTGCGTAACTATGCTAAATCTAGTTAAAAAGTAACTTAATTTTGAAGAACAGCAATAAATTTTCCGAAAGAAGCCTGCAGAGAAAAATACTGCTTTCTTGTTAGAAATTAAGAGCACCGAAATGTGGCCGAAATCAGTTAAAAATTCCGGCAAGAAGCATATAGCATTTTTTGTGAAACTTCGAAGCATGAACTGTTCTTAATCTTTGTTAATAAAGAAAAAGGATTTACACATTTAAAATCCGCATTTTAAAAGTAGTGAAAATCACGGGCATCAAATTCACAGTATTTTTTTACCGTATCATATTAAGCTTTGTAATTTTAAATGACAAAATCGGAAATTTTAAATAAAACCCTGAGATTCTAATGAATATCAAAATGTAAAATTTTACACTTTGTCACTAGACATTCATTCATCAATATTTTTTTGCTTCTGTATTTAAAATCTATTAAAATAAGTAATTTACAGTAAAAAATATGATTTTGAGGAAAAGCAATTTGAAAAATAAAAATAAGCCAAACGATTTATTTTCAATAAAAAAATATGCTTTTGAGAAAAAACGAAGCAAAAGTAGTAAACCAAACGATTTATTTTCAATCAAAAATAAGCTTTTGAGCGAAAATAAAGAAAGAATAGTAAATCAAACGATTTATTTTCAATCAAAAGTATGCTTTTGTGGAAAATCAAAGAAAAAGTAAACCAAACGATTTATTTTCTATCAAAAGTATGCTTTTGTGTAAAATCAAAGAAAAAGTAAACCAAACGATTTCTTTTCAATCAAGAATATGCTTTTGAGTGAAAACAATTAAAGAAGAATTGTAAATCGAAC